TATAACTTAATGGGCCTAAAGCCCATTTTGAACTGGGCTTAAACGGTTTAATTAAAATGGGCCATTCTGGGTTTATAGTTTGACTAGGATTAGCAATTGGATAAGATAAATCTTATCAACATGAGAGTTTAGATCTAAATACAAGATTTAGATTAGGAAATCTCATTCCTAATCAAATTAGGAAGCTGATTTTGAAGGAATTATAAATAGGGGGTGAATTCCATAGAAGGAACACAATTCTCTTTGTAGTCTTTTCTCCTCCTCAGCTCTTGGTGCCATTCTAGTTCAATCTCCACTTGCTGGATTAATCAAAAAGTGTTCTTGATATTGTTTCTTGGTGAAGAAACAATCAGAAGTCATGCTCACACCACCCTACTTGATTCTTGGTGAAGAATCCCAAGTTCTTGCTGAAGAACCATTCTTGCTAATCCTGCCTCAATATACGTAGTGTCATCTTCAGTGGAAGCGGATTTGGTATCCTCTTTGGGCATGAACACCTACGTTGGGAGTTTCATTTAATTCCGTATCAAGTATTTCTCTCTCCCTGTTTTGGTTTTAGATCTGCTCCGGTTTTGTTTTAAGAATGAACGATCCTATAGGGTTCGGCAATCCATATGATGGATCTCCCATCCCTTCACTTTCAGATCTCTGTCCAAGGTGAACAATCCTAGGATGTTTTCGAACTTGTTCACATGCCTCCCATCATATTGTGGCCAATATTGAGGCAGGACATAACTGGTAGGGTAAGGTTTGTATGGGGTCCAGTCAGAGTAGGGCTTCTAGAGAATAAGTGAGGCTTGGGCTCTGTTTTGGCTTTCCATCAAGCCTTGGACATATTCCTTTAGTTCATCCCGACTAATTGGAGCTTCCATTACTAGGTTGGTTTGTGCGGTGATAGGGGGTTGTTCAATAGTAGAAAAATGGGTTCTTTGTGTCGTGTCTTATGCTAGCACAGGGTTGGCTCTGGCCGGGCCTTCGGGATTGGAGGGGTTTAGGTTAGCAGATTGGTGGTTGGCAGATTGGCGGGGTTCGGTCATGAACAACTTTTGGAGGAGCAGTTGTAGGGTTCTTCTCATCTCGTTATGCATTTGTTCCATGCGATCAATATGAGAGTCAAGCTTGTACACTTTGCTGGAAAGTATTTCGATGTGGACTTGCTTGGCCGACTCTTGTCCAACCTGGTCTCCAATTTCCAGGCCAATGTTCTCCTATTCATCGATCTCCTCTTTAGGGATGGTGGAAAGGTTGATCTTGTGCATAACCATTCTTCATGATCAAGGAAGAACCAGAGATTCTAATATTAGTAGGGAGGTAAGGCTACGTGCAAGGGTCTCCTTGAAAGATGAAGGAAGGTTGAAGGCAAGGGGTAAGCTAAAGGTTAGGGTGAGTGGAATGATAGAATGATGTTCTCGTTATGAGTTGGACCCCTATTTATAGGGAGAGATCTTGAGGTCCTGAAAGGAAGGAGCTAAAAGTGTTTGATTCCCACTAGGGAAGGGAATCTTGGATTCAGTGTTAGTTGTTAGGTAACACCGCTAGGGTTTCGTCACATGTCTTATGTGATATCTCAAGAATGGGGTTTCCTTTTGTTTGAGGATTCTCATAATACACGTGTGCTACTTCCTTTCGCGAGTTTCTTATATTGACTTGGCACGGGTGACATCGATACTCATCTCACATGTCTTTTCTAATCTTATTGGACATTTTGTCATGTGTGTTATTAATGAAGCACATGTTTCTTGACTCGTTGCGACTTGCGATGGTCTTGGACTCATTGCAAGTTTGTGATGGGTTTGAGCTTATCGCAGGTTTGTGATAGTTTTGAGTTCATCATAAATCTGCGATGGCTTTGTGCTCATCGCAAGTCTGCGATGGATCTGAGCTCATCGCAAGTCTGCGATGGATCTGAGCTCATCGTAAACCTACAATGTCCATCACAGGTTCACAATAGCTTTGAGTTTGCTTTCGTTATTATGGTTCCGGGTCTATTGGGGGCTTGTGGTGGTTTTGAGCTCATTGCAGGTATTTGTGGGTTCTGAGTTCATCGCGAGTGTGAACCGAGTCGTAGATTCATCACGGGTGTTCTTGTGGTGTCGGTATAGCACATTTCATGTCTCCATAGTCGAGGCAATCAACATATACCTACACAAACAATTATGCAATTAGTTTTATTCAAGGTTCAAAATTTTGATACATATCGGTCCGTATCAAATGACATGTATCGCATTAGGGGCTTCTCAATACACTCCTATAGGGGTGTTTTGAGGTCTAGCTTGGTTTAGGAGGCAGTCAAACCTTAAACCGGCCCCTTTGAACCAGTTTCAAAGAAAAACTAAAAAATAAAATGCGAGCAAATATACAGGCTGATACGACCTGTATTGATTTTCTAAACCTTGGTTTTTAATCCATGTGATCAATTATGTATCAATTATTCTCTATCAACATTAACAATGTTAATGAAGAAATTATAAATGTCTTCTCAAAGCCAAATGATCATCAACTCTTTTACCAAAAAGTAAATGGTCATCAATTTAGGATCAAATTAATAGACTTGATTCCATACTATGGCTGGTTAAGTTTAAATATATGATATTTAGGCTCAGTTTGGAATGAGTACAAATGCACATATGTGCAATACAAATAAATACAAAATAATACAAAATACAAGGCTAGATCCAAACTGAGCCTTAGGCTATGTTTGGAAGGAATATAAATACAAATTTATAGAGTACAAAACCTTGTATTTTGTATTATTTTGTATGCATTTGCACTGTATTTGTACTGAGCCTTAGGATGTCTTTGGTTGCAATGCAAATAAATTTTCATTGATGCGAAACTGTGGCAACGCAAATGATTTGAGTGTAAATTTAGACCTATTTTTGTTTCAAATTTTAGCTCATCTTATTTGATTGCATTACAAATGAGAATTTACATTTTTTTTTCATTTACACTATTTGTATTAGTGTAAATTCTTAGATAGGCAAATTCATCCCTGAGGTTTTTTTTTTTTTTGGGAAAATTACTTATTCGGATGTAAGCATAGTTGCCAAAGCGACACCTAGGCGACAAGGCGCCCTTTGAGGCTCCCCTCGCCTAATCGCCAAGTAGTTTTCTACTTTCTACTATCCCCTCGCCTAATCACTAGGCAGTTTTCTACTTCCTACTATAAAATACTTTTTTATTCATTCATTTTTGAGATTATAATTATAAAATAGATATTATTAAACTAAAATAATCATTTTGTGTGTTTATATACTAATTTCTTTTTATTATTTTCTTATTTACTAGGGTTTAATCAACACAGACATTGTTAAATGTTGTATTGAACCCTCAAAGACTTAAAAGCCTGAACCAATAAGTAAGGAAGAACTTAAAATTTTATCTAATCAGCACATTTTCCTCTTCCATATATTCTTCTTCTCCTACTACTACTACCAATACTTTTTATTTTCTTCTTTTCCTATAACAAAAATAAGGGTTCAACCCCTATATTTTTTTTTAATTTTATTTTCCTTCTTCCTTTTCTTCTCATGAATATGTTGATTTTCTATACTTTAATATGAAAATTTTACTTTTCTTAAGAAAATCATGAATAATTATTAAAGAAAATGGTTATGCTACCTAGGGTACTACCCTAGGATCTATGTTTTTAACATAAAAAAATCCATCGCCTAAGCAACGCCTAGGTGCCCGCCTAGGTGACTAGGCGACAAGGGGCCCCCCAGTCGCCTAGCCTCGCCTTGGCACCTTGAAAACTATGGATGTAAGGATACTTCATTTTTTCCATGCAAAATAATAATGCTTGAGTTGAAGTAGGGATTTTTCAACAAAGCGATGCACAAGTCCTATCAAATATAAAGTTATAAGAGTATTCTAGTCAAAGTAAGAAGGTTGTAGGTAAGCCTTCTTTTTTAGGTGGAGACCGGAAAGGGTGTGTAGCTTTACGCCTTGTTGCATGTGAATATTAGGCAATGTGGAAAGAGTACTGTTTGAGTGTTTGTTGCCACTTCTAACGTCATAGTGAAGCGTAAGGTAAGGTAAGTTATATCAATGTTTTTGAATTGTCGTTGACCCAAATGGTCAACCATTTGGCCTAAAAACCGTTCAAGCAACCGGTTCCGTTTCACCCCTAACCCGTTCCTGGGTCAAAAACCGTTGATTTCGTCAGAAAACTGCTGACTCAGGCGGTCGAACCGTTAACTCGTTTGGCCTGAACAACAGTTCCACAATTTAAGAAAGTTGCAAAGAGAAGAGAAACACGAACTCAAATCTGAGATCCAGTCTGAGACACGAACTCAGATATGAGATCCAATAGAGAGAGAGAGAGAAGAAGAAGAAGAAGACAGATGTTGTAGAGAAATCGATCTTAAATCTGAGATCTGAGAACTCAAATCTTAGATTTGCATCTGTTGTCACCGCCTCGCCGTCGCCGTTACCATTGTCATTGCTAATGAGCGTCGAATCATCCCTCTCCTCTTCATTCTTCTTCCCTTCTTCCTTCTTTTCTTTTCCTTTTTTTTTTCCTTTCTCCTTCATTCCTTCCTTCCTTTTTTTCCTTTTTTCTTTCTCAACCGACAATATTCTCTTCTATGGTTCTCCTTTGAGTCCCTTTTCATATAAATATTTATCCTAATGCAAACCATTCGAACCGTTCAATCCTGACGGTCGAACTGTTGACCCAGAAACAAATTGCTACAACAGTTCCATTTCCGAATCGATTTTTAAAACCTTGTGTTATATAAATACAAACAGAACGTTGAAAAAAAAAAAAAAAAAANGGGGTCAAGACCACAACCCACAACCCCCACTTTGGGCTCGTTGGTGTGTTAGCTGGTTTGTTCAGCGTTGATACGAAATCGAATCCCACAACCCCATTTCCGAAACGAGTTTTTAAAACCTTTTTTTATAAAAAAAAAAACAAACGTTAGAAAAAAAAAAAAAAAAAACTTGAAATAGGAGAGAAGAAGCAAAATGAGAAAAAGGGGTCAAGACCACAACCCACAACCCCCACTTTGGGCTCGTTGGTGTGTTAGCTGGTTTGTTCAGCGTTGATACGAAATCGAATCCCACAACCCCCACTTTGCGAAAAAGGGGTCAAGGCCAAAGAACAAGCGTTGCGTTATTTGCATCCTTGCACACCTTCTTCTTCTTCTTCTTCTTCTTTGATTCGAAAACACAGATTGTGATCGTAGGCTGATAAGGGGAAGGACTAGAAGTCGTCTAGGGCATGACTGCTGGTGTAGAGTTGACGGAGTCCGGAAGGGTTGCTGGAATTGTAATGGATTTTCCGGCGGAGGATTTAGTGGCGGATGCCTCCTCTTCGTCTCCTCCACCGAAGTTGACTCGTAGGCTTCGGCGGCGGCTTCTTGAGGCCAGGAGTCCTTCCACTGCCGAAGAAATCGAAGCTAAGCTGAGGGAAGCCAATCTTCGTAGACAGGTTATTTCATCATGTTTTAATTGTAACTATTACTCTTCTTCCTTGTAATTGAGTTTTGTTTGTCTTTACTATTTTCCCTTTTTCCCTTTCTGGGTCTAGAATTTCTGGGTTCTTCGTTTTCCTTCCTTGTTGGGTTTGTTCTAAGGTTTTTTCTATATAAATTTTTATTACTTTTCGATTCGGGTAATGAAACTGCTGTTACCTTCGTAGTTTACATCAATTGTATATTTATTTTTATCTTTCTTTTTAATTCGTTATCTGCCTCCAAACAGTTTTGATTTGAGGTTGGAGGTTTTTTTTTCCCTATTTTAGTATCTTTAATCTTTAATGCTTCAATGTTTATTATTCTTTTACTTGATATTTTCGAGTAAGTTGTCTTAATTTGTTCTCTGGCACCCTTGTTTTGCTATTTTTCATTATCTTCCTTTGGTCCGTCCCCTTCGTTTTGTAGATTGAATTTGTTCTTCTTAAAGTGCCCCGGTTCTTTTTTTAGTGATTCTGTTCTTTCCCCCTTTCTTACCCAGTTTTGAAGCTGGGTGCTTTTTATATCTCAATTACAGGCAAGTTGCATAATTACTTCTTTTTGACAACGGTTGTCATGTATTTAAGTTATTAGAGTTGTAATTTTAAACTTTTTATTGGAGTACTGGATTATGCACCTTGAACTAGACTGAAGTTTTTTCTTTTTTCCTTCTGAATTTTGGGTGCAGCAATTCCATGAATGGTTGTCGAACAAGGCTCGGCCAAAGCCAAAGAGTCCATCCTGGTCTTCATTTCAAGATGAAGACCTGGGGCAGCGTCTTGAAGCAAAGCTCTATGCTGCTGAGCAGAAAAGGTATTTTTATCATTAAAGTTGGCCTTTTACTCGTTTATCCTTCTTCTAGAACTCCATGGTTGGACTTTACCTTCTTCAGTTTCCTTTCCTGAGCAAAGCTCCATGCTTTTTTTCTTGATGAATTTTTGCAAGTCTTTCCCTTTTAACCCGAAGTATTCCTCTCTTATGGGAAAGTTAAAACTTAAAGGGTTTTCTAAGTATATTAGCCTAGGATTCCTGAATTACTGATGAGTTAGTGCCCTACAATTTTCATTGAAATGCATAATTTAACTTGGAAAAGATTTGTATTCTATGAGGTCAATGTTACCCAAGTCCATTCCAAGTATGTAGGCAATTCAAAAATAATACACTTCTACGAATCTAGTAGATGTTTGGCATTGATGCATTTCTTGGTCATTCCATTTAAACAACTTGTTGCATCCAAGGTTCAAAATATCGATACAGGCTGATACGCCGGTAGGGGCGTATTGGCCTGTACCTTTGGCTCTTTGCTCGCATTTTTCTTTGAAACTGGTTCAGAGGGGCCGGTTTAGTCTACCCCCTGAACCAGGCCAGACCCCGAAACACCCCCTGTAGGGGCATATCGGGAAGCCCCCGATACGTATTGAAATTTTGAACCTTGGTTGCATCAGAGTTTTAGTATAACCAGACAAAAATCATGTTTGTTTAGGCAAAAATGTAAACTCTAGTGCATACATTTCTATGCTGGGGTGATCATCAGAACCACCATTTTGATGTTTTTATACTTGGGGCATTACTGCAAAAATGAAAAAAAAACTAGAATACTTTTTTGAGTTGTCATATTCTAATTGCAACTAAAACTTTCGATTAAAAATTGTAACACTTTTAAATGCCTAGTCAGCATATGTCTCTACAAAACACATTTCTGGCAGAAATGCTGTATAATTATTGGGAAGGGGGAGCACTGCATTTCTAGTTATGCTCAAACACAATGACATAATTCATTTGTAATGAACATCGCAATGCTAAATTCCCTCCTAATTTTCCATGTTATCCAGTTAACTTGTATCTAGGATTTATAGTCAAAAGTAACTGTGTAATTTTCTCTCTCAATCCTTCAAACAGCTTTTGATGTGGATATCAGAGTTGAATCTAGGATTTTTTTTTGTTTCCTAGTTGATTTTTGTTTTCAAAATTTTGTTGTAGGTATAATTTGATCATTTTACATTTTTTGATGTAGGGTCTGATCATTGTAAGCTGTTACTTAAGTTTTGTTAGGGTTTATTTAAAGTTTCAAAATCATAGGATCAGTATGCTCAAGGTTATAGTTTTTTATATTGGGTGTTGTAGCATTTTTAGCATATTTTCTTTTTTTTTTTTTTTTATCAATAACATAAACTTTATTAAGAATTATGAAGCTAGGTACAAAAAAGGGGGAGATAAAGAGTCTTATCTCCCCATCAGAAAATTACAATGAAAGAAGATTAAAAATTAGCCCAAAAAATAGCCTCCCTATTCACCCCTTGCTTGGCCAACCCATCTGCAAAAGAATTAGCAGTCCTTTTCACCCAGCTGTATTGTATCTCAATGCCTCTACATAGCCATAAGAATTTTTTCTTTTCATTATTGTAACTCCACAAGCCACTGTCCTCTTTCTTCAACCAGCTAATCACCACCTTTGAATCACCTTCCAAAATCAGTCGACTGATATTTAGTACCCTTGCTCTTTGAACCCCTTCCAAAGCTGCAAGGATCTCAGTCCTAATAGAGTCTCCTTCTCCAATAGGGCCTGAGAATAGAGCAATAACAATCCCTTCCTCATTCCTGAAAACTCCCCCAATCCCAGAGGGCCCTGGATTCCTTATGCTACTGCCATCAAAATTCACTTTTATAAATCCGGAGGGAGGAGGGGACCACAAGGGACTAAGAGTCGTCTTACACAGAGTAGAGGTTGCTATCTCTTTCCAGTTTCTTAACAGGTCATCAATAGGAAAGTCTGAGAATAGTTCCATAGTTTTTAGCTAGTGGGCAGCCCTTAAAAGTATTAGGTCTAATAGTTCTTCCAGGGATCTTTCCTTTTCTGAAAATATTCGAGAGTTTCTTTCCTCTCATAGTGACCAACACACGGCTTCTCTAATACTCCACATCATCTTCCCTCGCTTCTTAGGTCATCTGAAAAACAAAGGGGAGAACAAACCTTGGACACTCTTAGGAGGGTTCCAAGTACATCCAAAGCGAGAAAGTACCCACTCCCAAACAGTTTTAGTAACCTTACAAGAGACCAAAAGGTGGTAACCGGATTCCCCATCATCTTTACAGAGAGAGCATCTATTAGGAAGTAAACAAGAATTGGGTCTCTTTTTCTGAAGTAGATCATTTGTATTTATTCTTTTTAGGAAAATTTCCCAACAAAAATACCCAACCCGAGGAGGAATGGGCTTGCTCCAAAATTCCTTAATCGGAAAGGACACACCAGAAGAGACAAATGACTGAGTTAAGGTTTCAAAAAACGAAGCACAAGAGAAGGTTCCTGAAGTAGAAGGGATCCAAATTCTGGTGTCTTCCCTATTAGGATCAAGGAAGATATTCTCAAGGATGGCTAATAAAGGTAAGAGGCTGTCCAAGTCTGTATCCCTAATTACCCTTCGCAGGCCAAGGTTCCACCCAAAACCAAAAGTGGAGTCTAAAGGAACTAAAAAAGAAGAGATAGGTTCATTTTTCAAATTTGACAGAGTATACAAGGAAGGAAACTGGTCCTTCGGAGGTGAAACCCCAACCCAAAGATGTTCCCAAAATTTTATTCGATTGCCAAAGTTAACATCGTACCTGATCCAAGGGGAGAAAACTAGAAGCAGATCATGGATGGATTTCCACAGAGAAGCAGCTGTAGCCCTTGCCACAATTCCAGAATCCCAGCCGTTGTCTTCCAGCCCATGTATGCTAGCCACGATCTTTGTCCACAATTTTTCCTTTTCCACTATGAACCTCCACAACCATTTTCCCAACAATGCCATATTCCTTTTCTTGATGTTTCCAATCCCAAGACCTAGTTTTTTACATCTAATTACCACCTCCTATCTCACCCTATGATTTCTCTTCTCCTCTCCCAACTCCCACAGAAAATTCCTCGTTAATTTTTCCAATAAGTTGGAGACCTTGGTGGGGATCTTAAACATTGACAAATAATACACAGGTAAGTTATCTAGGGTGGACCTAATCAGAGTGACTCTCCCTCCTAAGGAAAGATAATTTCTCTTCCAGGACGCAAGCCTTCTCAAATCTCTCCACTACCGGAGTCCAAAAGCTTTCATTCTTAGGGTTATCTCCTAAAGGGAGGCCCAAGTACGTCAAAGGCCATTCTGACATTGCACAACCTAACATACCTGCATAATTCCTTAACACCCTCTCCTCCACATTCATCCCCACCACACAACTTTTATCAAAGTTCACCTTGAGGTTAGACATCTGCTCAAAAAGTTGTATTGCTAACTTTAAATTCCGGATCCAGCTTATATTCCCACCCTCACAAAACAAAATTGTGTCATATGCAAACCGGAGATGTGTCAGTGGTACCTCCTCCCTGCCAACTCTCCACCCTTTTATCAGATTCCTCGAGTCTGCTCTATGGATCAATCTCCCAAGTACATCAGCCATCAAGGTAAAAAGAAAGGGGGAGAGTGGGTCTCCTTGTCTTATACCTCTCAAAGCAGGAAAAAAGTCAACCACTGTTCCATTCACCAATATAGAATAGTGACAAGTCCTAATACAACCCCAAATCCATTTACACCACCTATCTCCAAAGCCATAGCTTCT